GTAAAGAAGAATTCCTGCCTGATAGTCTTTGAGCCAGTACATTGGTTTTCTTCTAACTTCAGATTTAGACTCAGTGTAGAATTTTCACTATCAGCTCTCCAGTGTCTCCAACCTGCATTTCTTGGGACACGATAATGGTGAGCCAATTCCATTAAAAAATCTATCTATAAGCCCTGGCTGGTGTAGCTCAGTGGATTGAGTGCAGGCCTGCAAACAAAAGGATCATGGTTCGATTCCCAGTCAGGGCACATGCCTGGGTTGCAGACCAGTTCCCAGCAGGGGACTCACAAGAGGCAACCATACACTGATATTTCTCTCCTTCTCTCCTTCCCTTCCTCTCTAAAGATAAATAAACAAAATCTTTTTAAAAATCTATCTATATAGTTCCTATTGATTCTATTTCTCTGACTAATACAGATTTTGGTACTGAGAAGTAGGGTGCTACTATAATGAATACCTCAAAATGTGGAAGTGACTTTGGAACTGGATACGAGGTAGAGGCTGGAAGGCTTTTAAAAAAAGACTATTTGTTTATTTTTAGAGAGAGAAGAAGGAAGGAAGAGAGGGAGAGAAACATGGATGTGAGAGAAAAACATTGGTCAGTTACCTGTCACATGCCCCCAACTCATGACCTGGCTTACAACAACCCAGGCATGTACACTGACTGAGAATGGAACCGGTGACTTCAGTTTGCGAGACAATGCCCAACCCACTGAGACATACCAGTCAGGGTGAGGCTGGAAGAATTTTCGGGTACATGCTAGAAAAAGCTGAGATTGCTATGAAGGGAGCATTAAAAGGTAATTCTGGTGAGAACTCAGAATGAAAAGAGGAGAGCTGGAGAAAAAGTCCTCCATATTCTTAAAGTACATAATAATCATGAACAGAATGTTGGCAGAAATATGGTAGTGAAGGTCATTCTGATGAGGTTTCATACAAAATGAGGAAGATGTTACTAGACATGAAGGAAAGACAACCCTTGTTACATAGTAGCAAAGGAGCCCTGACTGGTGTGGCTCAGTTGGCTGGGTATCATCCCAAAAAGTAAAGGGTTACTGGCTGAATTTCAGGTCAGGGCAAATGTCTGGGCTGCAGGTCTGGTCCCTGGAGGGGGTACATACAAGGAGCAACAGATGGATATTTCTCTTTCACCTTGATGCTTCTCTCCCTCCCTTTCCCTAGAAAGGGAGGGAGGGAGGGAGGGAGGAAGGAAAGAAGGAAGGACGGAAGGAAGGAAGGAAGGGAGAGAGAGAGAAAGAGGAAAAGGACTTGGCTGAATTGTGTTTGTATTTTAGGGTCTTGTGGAAAGTATAGTTTGTGAGCAATAAAACTGGATATTCAGCTCAGGAAATTTCTAAGCAAAGTGCTGAAGAAGCAGCCTACTTTATTCTAAATCCTTATAGTAAAATACAAGAAGAGAGACATAAATCGAATGCATTGTGAAGCAAAAAAGAACTTAAAAATTTGGAAAATTTTCAGTTTGTCCATATTGCAAAAAAATGAGAGTATGCTCTGAAGAGAATACCAAGAGTGTGTTGACCAACCACTTGTAAGGAGATTAATGTGGGTGTGAACCACGGAACTAATTGGCCATTTCAATAGAAGCCAGGATTGGGATTATACCAGCAGAAATACTGCCAGCTGAGACTAAAGGAAGTAAAGAAAATTATTCAAAATAAAGGAATGTGAACACACATTATTCTTCAAGGAAAAGGAAAAAGGACCCTAAAGACTATTCAGAGGTGATCAGGGCTGCTATACCTACCACAGGGTTAAAGTGCAAAGGCCAAGGGCCAAGGCTGCCTCTTCCTTGATTTCAAAGGGCAGTACCACTGCCCAGCAGAATGCCCTTGGCAAACACTCCAAGGGGAGCCAGAGGTGTAGGTCTGCCCCATGGAAATGATACCACCACTCCAGTGACTCTTGAAGGGACCACAGCCCCAGTAGATTCAGAAGGCAAAGTATTGAACCAGAGGATTATTTTTTGAGCCTTAAGAGCTCATGGAATTTGCCTTGCTAAATTTTGGACTTACTTGGGGCCTGTCACCTCTCCTTTATTTCCTATTTCTCCCTTTTGGAATGATAATGTGTATTCTATGACTGGCCTGCCATTGTATTTTTGAAGTGCAAAACTTATCTAGTTTCACAGATTCATAGATAGAGAAGAATCTGGCCCCAAGTCTCACCCATATCTGATTTAGATGAGATTTAGATGAGACTTTGGACTTTGACATCTAGAATTGATGCTAGAATGATTTAAGACTTTTGGGGCTGTTGGGATGAAATGAATATAGTTTATATGTGAGAAGAACATATATTTGGGGGCAATAAACACTCCATAAATATATGTTATGGACTGAAAGTGTGTCCCCTTCAATTCCATACATTGAAGTCCTAACCCCAATGTGATAGTATTTGGAGATGGGGGTCCTTGGTAGGTAATAAAGGTTAAAGGATGTCACAAAGATGGGGCCCCCGTAACAGGATTAGTGGCCATATAAAAAGAGGAAGAGACCAGCTGAGGACACAGCAAGAAGTCAGCTGTCTATAAACCAGGAAGAAGGCTCTCACCCGAACCAAATCTGCTAGTACAATGATCTGGGACTTCCCAGTTTCCAGAACTGTGAGAAAAAAAATGCCCGTTGTCTGTCACTTGGTCTGTGGTATTTTGTTACAAGAGCTCAAGCCAACTAAGACAGGTTTTTTTGTGTCTTTTTGTTTGTGTCTTTTGTTGTTGAGTTGTAATAGTTCTTTTTATATTCTGGACCTTAGCCCTATATATGATTTTCAAATATTTTCTCCTATTCTCTGGGTTGCCTTTTCATTGGTTTTTTAAAGGCATCATATGAGGTTTGGGTTAATTATATTAAAAAATTACTTTTAACTTATGACTTTCCCAATAAATGGCATTTGGTTAAAATAAGAGATCATTAATGCAACATCTTCTTTATTACTTGGAACTGGCATTAGTTTAATAATATGCTATTTACTATTCAGTTCCCTACTACAAACCACAATTGAACCCACAAACTGACAAGATGAGTTTAGGCATGCTCAATCAAAAGACACTAACTCCATGCTAGTTTATTCTGTGATAAGTATAATGCTGGATAGAGAATGCCAGAATAGCAGCGAAGCACACAAAAATCAACCTCTTAAACACCATCTAGCTCCAAGGAGCATGCATCTGCCACTTAGGAGTTTCTTTGCTTTGAGTCAGACTAAAGCAATTAGATTTAGAAATAGCCTGGGAACCACTCAATGTAAGAAATTACAACAGGAAGTAAGTTTTGATTTTTTAAAAATGGGTGCTACTAGATATTTCTTCATTTCTCATGTCTACACATAATCCTTTTCCTATGAGTAGAAGAAACCTACAAGTACCTCTGACTAGTCACATTAATGATTTATTTGCCAACGACTTTAAAAACAGGGGTCTGTCTGATTCTTAATGGCTTGACAATTCAAGGCTGTGAATAAAAAGACTTCATTGCTTCATCATTATGTAATTTTTTGGAACAACAATTATCTCCATAGATGCCAAATCAATTTGTAAAGCTTAACATCAACACAAAGATCTTTAAATTTGGTCTACTATAAAACTTAAGAATCCTTTGGAATTCTTTTTCATTCAAATGGAAATAAGGTTATGATGCATCTGGTAGGCATTCAGCTAAAATTTCTCCTAGTTTCTATCTCTTAACCTTATGCAAAAGAATGACACTTCACTATCAGATCTTCCCTAGGAGACATTAAGTTTAACCCAAAATCTTTGTGATAGCCAAGATAGGAAAAATATTGCCAATAACCTCAGTAACTGATTAAAAGGAACTATTAATATGTTAATATTAAGTTGTAGTTCACAAGAGTGACATATATATATATATATATAAATTAACACTCCATAATTCATCATTAAGGAAGCATTTCCTTCAGACACCTTCTCCATAATAAGCATGCTTATGGTATCCTTTCTCTGTATCATCTAGAATTTACCAGGATTGTTTCTTATGGGAGAGGATTAATTTTAAAAACCCTTTGGAGTAGGTAAGAGACATGTTATTATATACTTCCTAGATGTTTCATAATGTTTTTTTTCTTTTAATGGCAGGAGGTACTGGTACCCTTATAACAACATTCCATGAGAGGGAAAAAAAGTGTCATTGAAGTTAAAAGGACCAGGTACATTACTCAGTATATCCTTTGTTTTTAGGAAGTGAAATTCAACTAGCTGTAGGAACTGTAAAATCTATCAAAAGTAATGACAAAAATAAGTACAAAGCTGAAGGCTGAAATGTTCTTCAGTTGATATTTTCCTAAAAGGTAAAGAAAATTTGTTTTTTTACTACCCAAGATAGTTCTGGAGACTTGGGTCAAAACTGGACCAATATTGGAATTTTGTAAAAATTTGCATTTTTTAAAAAGCAATCTACCACTTTATTTATTTATTGAGGCATAACTGACATACAAAATTATATTACTTTCAGGTACATAGCATAATGCAATCTACCATTTTAAATCTGAGTAACTAAATTCTTAAAGCAATACTATTTTGAAAGACCAATTAAGCATTTTGGAAGTCCGGGATAAACTAATATGAAAAGAATGAACAAAAATTAGAGAAAAAAATCATTAACTACAGAAATGCTAGTTAATGGCCATAGATGTGAAATAAGTCAAGCATGACAAATACCATACAATTTCACTTAAATGTGGAATCTAAAGAACAAAAAGATACAAACAAACAAAATAGAAAAAGACCCACAGATACAGAGAAGAGACTGGGAATGGACAGGGTAGAGGGGTTGGGGAGCTAGCTGAAAAGCGAAGGTGCCAGGTGCCAGGTGGGTACTTGAAATATCAGGGGGACCACTCTGTAAAGTATATTGTTGTCCAATCACAATGCTGTACACAGAAACTAATACAGAATAATATTAAATATACACCGTAATTGAAAAACAACAAAAAGAAATGGTATAGGATATAACGAACAAACATACCTCCTGGGCTGTGACCGGCATTCCTCCTCCCCACTGTCTGCCTCCTGTATAGACAGGAAAAGGAGAAAAATAATTAACAACTGAGGTCTCATATCACAATATCAACACTGCAATTTTACTAAGCTTTACATGTAGGAATACCTTATTCATGCTGTGCCCTTGAACTAAATTCTCTATAAAAAGTGACTTTAACCAACCCCATAGGTTGATATACAAGTGGGCAAAAGTAGGTTAAATCACCAGCCATCATTATCTAAAAGATAAATGATAAGGACACAAAATAACAATAATAAGATAAATAATACAAATAATAAATAATATAAGAATAAACTCTGTGTTTTATGTGGTCACAACTGTAAACCTATTTTGCCCACCCTGAATATTAATAGAAACTATCCCTGGAAGAAACTTCAGCAATAGTCTACAAATTTTACTGATAACAAACTGCTAATAATTAAAGAATAACCTCTAAAAATAATGGAAAATATTACATTATTGTTACATATGTCGCTACATTATTGTTGTGCTACTTCAAATTCAAAATGAGCGGTCATTCTGACTACCACCAGCAAATCTCATCAAGATGACCTATTAACGACTCTGATACCTAAAGAACAACCTGAACAATGAGCACCACTTCACAAAGTGCAGCTGATCAAATCACCATCACCATCACCATCACCATAATGGTGACTACTTATAGAGTATTTTATAACATGCCAGACACCTTGCTCAATACTTGGTCCTACTTATTCCTAATAAACTTACCAGGTTCATGGTCCATATTTTTCACTGATTCTAACATACACACATAACTTAGTATAAAACAGTGTAATAAAAAAATCACTGAATCATAGCTTAATTGCAATTAATTGGAATTTATTAATTTATTTTTTCTTAGTAACATAAAATAATTGAGGATGTTAAAACTTACAGCAATTTAAACTTAATAAAGTATGAATATTTTATAGATGAAATAACTGTAATTTACATTGCTTCTCAGCCTTTTGGCTAAAATCAAGTGTAGTATTTTTTCTTATCCATTTAAAATTCACAAAGCAGAAAGAAGTAAGTTGCCCAAGCAAACTCATATGGTGAAGCTACAATTAAAACCGATAAAATACTGCTTCCTATCACATCGAAAAAGCATTTCATTTACCCTCCATAGCCTATGTTAGGGATTATTTATTATATGTTAAGATACTACACAGATCTTTATGGAGACATGAATATTGATATGAAAGAAAAGTGAGAAAAGTTGAAAGAATTAATGATGCTGTGGTATTCTTTTTCTTTAAATTTTCTCTCTGACCTTTTATATTTGTTCTCCGGTTACCTTTGTCCTATTTGTATATGATGTGAGGTAGGAGTGGAGGTTCACTCCCCTGCATATTGATATACAGTTTTCAAGCATCTTTTGTTGAAAAAGACTTTCCTTTCCCCATTGCATTACTTGGGTGCTTTGTAAAAAATCAAATCAAATATAAGTGAGGTCTACTTCTAGTTCTTTATTGGTCCATTGATCTATTTGTCAATCTTTATGTCAATACCATACTGTCTTGATTACTGTAGTTTACGTATATTTGTTCATAGTTTTTAAGAAAAGATAAATCCTCTACCTTAGTTCTTTTTCAAGACTGCTTTAGCTTCTAGTAAGACTATTTGTCTTGAAATCTATTTTTTTAAAGATTTTATCTATTTATTTTTAGACAGAGGAGAAGGGAGGAAGAGAGGGAGAAAAACATCAACATGTGGTTGCCTCTCACATGCGCCCTACTGGAGACATGGCCTAAAACCCTGGCATGTGCTGTGACTGGGATGTGAACCAGCAACCCTTTGGTTTGCAGGCTGGCACTGAATCCACTGAGCCATACCAGCCAGGATAAAATCTATTTTATCTAGTATTAATATCAGATAATGATTACAAATAATTAATCATAATTATTAATATCTGATGTACTTCAGGTTTATACTCTATATATTTTCAACCTCTTTATATTTTAAAGGTGTCTTTTATAGAGAATATAGTTAGAGCTTACTTTATTTTACCCATTCTGACAATCTTTGCCTTTTAACCGTAGTGTTTAGTGCACTAAAATTTAGTGTAATTATTTATATAGTTAGATTTGAGTCTACCATGTTACTATTTATTTTCTGCTTGTCCCTTACATTTTAATTTCTCTGTTCCTCCATTTCTGCCTTCTTTTGTAGTATTTGAAATTTTTTGAGAATTTCATTTTAACTTACCTAATGATTCTATCTCTTTACATTTTTTATTCCATTGTTTTAAAAAACATATATGTATATATTCTTAATATATTACTTAATTTTGACTGTTTTAGGGCTTTAAAATTATATTATACTATATGTAGTCTTCTCAATATGATTTTTAACAACCAAGTATTATACTAACAAGATTCATCCACTTACTATATATAGCTATAGTTTACTTATTTTTACTGGGGTAAAAGACTGTATTATATGACAATATCAAAGTTTATTCATTCTACTTAAATAGATGGGATTGTTTCCGAATTTTGGATGGAACTGTAAACATGGTTCTTTTCTTTGTTTCCCTTTCTGATAGTTCATTACTGGTGTATAAAATGCCATTTTGCCTGGCTGGTGTAGCTCAGTGGATTGAGCACGAGCTTGTGAACCACATGATCGTGGTTCGATTCCCAGTCAGGGCACATGCCTGGGTTGCAGGCCGGTTCCCAGAAGGGGACACACGAGAGGCAACCATACATTGATATTTTTCTCCCTCTCTCCTTCCCTTCCCCTCTGAAGATAAATAAATAAAACCTTAAAAAAAATGCAAGTAACTTCTGAATCTTTATTTTGTATCCTGCTACTTTACTGAATTCATTGATCAGTTCTAGTATTTTGCTAGTGGAATATTTAAGGTTCTCTATATACAGTATGATGTCATCTGCAAATAATGACAGTTTCTTTTCTTTTCTAATTTAGATGTCTTATTTCTTCTTGTCTGATTGCTGTGGCTAGGACTTACAGTACTATGTTGAATAAGAATGAAAATGTGTCTCTTGTTTCTGATATGAAGCGAAACACTTAGTTTATGTCCGTTGAGTATGGTGTTAGCAGTGGGTTTGCCATATTTGGCCTTTATTATGTTATGTTCCCTCTATCCCCACTTAGCTGAGAGTTTTCAGTACAAATGAGTTATGGATTTTGTCAAATGCTTTTTCTGCATCTATTGATATAATTATATGATTTTTTTATCATTCATTCTGTTTATGTGATGTATCATGGTAATTGATTTGTGGATATTGTACCAACTTTGTACACCTGGAATAAATCCCATTTGACAATGGTGTATGATCTTTTTAATGTATTGATGGATTTGGGTTGCTAATGATTTGTTGAGAATTTCTATATCTAATGTTCATCAGGAATACTGGCCTATTTCTTTCTTTGTAGTGCCTTTTTCTGGTTTTAGAATTAAGATAATGCTGGCCTCATACAATGAGCTTGGGAGTCTTCCCTCCTCTTGCATTTTTGGGAATAGTTTCAGAAGGATAGGTGTTAGTTCTTCTTTGAGTGTTTGGTGAAATTCACCTGTATGAAGCCACCAGTTGAGGACTGTGGTTTGTTGGGAGTGTTTTGATTACTCCTTCAATTTCATTAGTTGTAATCATTCTGCTCAGATTTTCTCTTTCTTCTTGGTTCAGTTTTGGAAGATTGTATGCTTACAGAAATTTACATATTTCTTCTAGATTGTCTAATTTGTTGGCATATAGTTGTCATTTTTTAATGATTATGTTTCTGTGGTGTCAGCTGTTATTTGTCCTCTTCCATTTCTGATTTTATTTATTTAGGTCCTCTCTCTTTTTTTTCCTTTGTAAGTCTGGTTAGAGGTTCATCAATCTTTTTTTATTTTTTAAAACAGTACTTGGGAGACTTTCGCCAAGATGGAGGTATAGGTGGAGACGCCATGCTTCCTCACACAACCAAGTTTAGAGACAACTAAATATTAGCAACAGAAAATACAGCCAGAACACGGAAAATTGAACTTTTCGGAAGTCTGATAACAACAAATTCTTCAGTCTGACCAGTAAGGGGCAAAACAAGCAACTGGTGGAGCGGGGCTGCACAGGAGGGCTCGGTCAGAGGGACTCAGGCGCGTGGAATCCAGGCGCAGGGTTGGACCTACTGAGCGACCACAGGGAGGCAACGAGGACGCAGGGCTGAGGGTTGACTGTGGTCGCGCATTTGTGCGAGGATAGACAGGCGGGGGAGTGGGCAATTGGACCCGGGACTCCACATAGCGTCATAACCCAGCGACTCTGAGTGGCCCAGCCCTGGTGAACCACCTAAGGCTCTGCTCCTACCCAGCGGTGCAAAACAGCAGAGGGTGCCGCCATTTCCCCGCTCTGACCACGCCCCTACATACAGCGTCACAACCCAGCGACCTGGGAGTCCCAAGGCTCCATTTCTCATACTTAAAGGGCACGAACAGACCAAAAATGTCGCAAGAAGAGCTCAAAGCCCCGGAACCTATAAATCTAAGTGATGAAGAAATACCAAAACTCTCAGACGCACAGTTTAAAACACTGGTAATCAGGATCCTCACAGAACTGGTTGATTATAGCCACAAATTAGACAAATATATGAAGGCGAAACTAATTGAAATGAATGGAATTGCACAGGAAACCAATAGCAATGAAAAGGAAACTGGGACTCAAATCAATGGAGTGGACCAGAAGAAACCAAATAATGGCCAAACAGAAAACAGTCAAGAAGCAAGAATTCAAAGAAATGAAGAGAGTCTTAGGAACCTCCAGGACATCTTTAAACGCTCCAACATCCAAATTATAGGGGTACCAGAAGGGGAAGAGGAACAGCCACCAGTGGAAAACTTATTTGAACAAATAATAAAGGAGAATTTCCCCAATCTGGCAAAGGAAATAGACTTCCAGGAAATCCAGGAAGCTCAGAGAGTCCCAAAGAAGTTGGACCCAAGAAGGAACACACCAAGACACATCATCATTACATTAGACAAAATTAAAGTGAAGGAGAGAAT